GATCTCTGCGAAGAAAAAAGGCCGAAGTGCGACATGGGCAAAATGTCTTTTTTTTGCCCCCCCCCTGTATATCCCCCGCGCTGTCGTCAATGTGTTAAAAATCTTCTACTGTTAACTCCTATCGAAGCTTCAGCTACTTCTACTAACATAGTTGCGAGGGAAGCTACTGACTTGAGAAGTAGGCTCGTTCATGCTCGGCCTCCAGCAGTAAGTCGACACTCCACGTTTGGAGCCATTTATGCGAAGAAGTAGTGTGAACATGAACGCTCCAGCTTTTTACGCGTTTCATCAAATCGCCCTACCTTCCTCCCTCCCCGTCCCCCGAATTGGATATACTGCCCCAGAGTACTGATTCCATTTTTTGCACTGATGTCATCGCCAGTATTTGGCTCAGCGAGCAGCGTGCGTCTTCGCCGGTGGTCCCCTTCCATCAACTAGCGTTGTACCCTTATTTTGCTACTTTTCTGTTTTGAGCTTCCCAAAAACGCACCTCGTGGGACAAGCTGACGCGCTTGCGCGTCAGGCAAATCGCGCCCGCCAATCGCCCATGTCCCATGAGGCAAAAAAAGCCAATACCTGCGCTGTCGTCAACGTGTTGAGGAACAATCATGTAGGGTCATCTCACAGGGTCGAATACGAAGAGGTGTGGTTCGACTCACCGCACGCTGCAGTAACCCCCCAATTGGTTTTCTGTGCTAAGTCTTGAACTTGCAATTATCATACACACCGCAAGTTTTACAATGCAAACTTATTTCTCTCTGAAGTGATCTCCCAACGTCGCTGAGATTCGCTTGGTCGTGGACTCGACGTGCTAGAGGTCTTCTGGCTCCAGATTGTTGCAGGATTCGAGCTTTGTTGTTTTCCCAATTGCAAATAGATCTTTCCCATGGGGAAATGGTGGCGCTCTAGTACATACGAGACTACGTCATATGCATATTGGCTAACGTAAGTGTGGTTCAAGCAATTATCATTTTCTTCTGTGTTCAGAAGAAAGTGTAAGTTTTGGCATCCTCAGTTTAAGATTGATTCAATCTTCAATATGAGAAGGGACTGGTGGACAGTCTCTCGCTGCTCGACTGATATCTAGAATCTGCTTCAGAAGATTCTGCCACCTTGTTGAACATTTTGCTTCTTGCTATGTTTCATTTTATGAGTAAATGTATTAGGTTGGTCCATAAGTCTTGCAACAAACTGGCTGAATTTTGAATTTAATATTTTCATTATCTTTTTGTTCCATTCATCCAGGCATGCTACACACCATCAATATCTACAACCTATTGCAGAACGCACTAGGAGCTGTTCGATTCTAATCGAAGAAAGATCAGATGTCGATTTTGACATCATCATGGTTAGGATGAGATTTCTTCTCTAGGAGGTGGTCTGGAGAGGGAAGCAGGTGGGCATCCTTTGGCACGAGGTCAGAGCTATAAGGTGGATACGAGAAGAACTCTCCGTCCGAGAGTCCCAAAATTTTCCTGGATTTTTCTGCAAGAGGTGGTTCAACGGTGTCATAAAACTTTGTCTTGCTTTTCTTTCGTATTGAAAGCGTTGCATTCGAGCTGTGGACGGTTGACTTCCGCGTTGACTGCGACATCTACACGTAGGGGTTTCCAGAGCTCAACTCCTCTCGTGTTCCACCAAAAATCCGAGAAGGCCCTACTTGGACGAGGTTGAACTTAGCAGTAAGAACTCCCAAAGCGTTTGAGCTGGACTATCGCCGCTTGTTTATTTGTTAGCACACTGTACCCTCTCCTCATCTTCGGCAAATGTGATGGATGGTCAATCGAAGAATCCATAGTAAGTCGACTTGAACATGATGATGTCAGATCGTGTTTGGAGCTGATTCGGGCTCAAGGCATGTGGGATCCAAACTCTATATTTTCGGATCTTTACAAGTCTTTGGAGATGCCACAGTGCTGTCTCCTTGTCGCATCGGAATTGCTCTAGCAAATGATCGATACTCTATCCAGATCCCTTTTCAACAGCGTCAGATAGAGCATCGTGATTGCCAGTCACGGGGTGGTTGGAGTGTGGATCATCTTCAAATAAAAAAGTCAACGCTGAGCAGAGTGAAGCGCCGGTGCACCGTGAATTGAGAGAGCGTGCCCTCGCCCATCTTCTGGCTAATCCTTGGTGTAGCATGACTTGCGGAACATTCCAAGCAGTACTCGTAAAAATTAAGGGCACGAAGAGCTTTTCGCGAAATCGGTGTAATATCCATAACAAGTAGCGAGACAACGAGCTGGACGGTTGGCTGAAATTGCAAAGGTGGATGCTACGTCAACAAACATGTTGCGGAATTTTCGGAGTTCTCACAAAAATTCTCTAGCATTAAATGTAATTTGTTGCAAGACTTATGGACCAACCTAATAGATACCCTCTAGATTCGGAAAACGAGAAGAGCGTCGAGTGCAGACCACACACCACAAGTACGACGGCCAAGAAAGAAAAGAAAAAGCCACTTTTTCTTGGCCGTCGTCACTTGTGGTGTGTGGTCTGCACTCGACGCTCTTCTCGTTTTCTGCAATAGAGTGTAAATGGTTAATTATGAAGAGTGGTGTTATGTTATGTTGATTGGCTAAATAGCACCCACTGCTGTGGCAGAGTTGTGAAAATATGTGGTTGTACGGGTTTTCAAATTTAAAATCTGAAATACCCACCTGCGCCGTTCACGCGGCTACACACTAATAGGCAGAAAATGTAATTATGAACTGGAAGGCGCCGGAACTAAGAAGCCCCGACAAGATGGAGAAAATTTACAGAATATTTCTATGTTGCAGTTAAGGACAAGAAAATTCCTATATTAAAATGATCGGGAATCCTGAACATTCAGTGCTCAAATCTTGGACTGGATTGTGACAGATTCACTCCTTTCACAAAGAGATGCCATAACGTTTATTGTACATACATCAAGCGCATACATCAAATACATACTTTACTGATGGCATGAATAACAGAAAGTGGGGTCGCTCTCCCTCCAGAATCAGTAATACTTAGCATAGTGGTGAATTCAAAGAGAGGAGAAATGCATGATGTAAATTCATAAATTAAAACATCAGGAGAGGTTGTGGCATCCAAAAAAGACATGGAGGGTGTTGAGGGAGGAAGCCGGGTTGAGTCATCAGAGAAAATTTATTCGCACCTCAAAAGTTTTCCACGGGCACGAACCAGGAAAAGGTAAATAGTTATGCGTGCAGACCAGAGTTGTATGGGTACCCCCAGGAGGCCCGTCGCGCGGCAAGAAGGCAGAGTCGGCGGACGAGTTGCAGCGCGTGATGTGCGATGTAGGACGTGCAATGGGACACTTTTGTTTGACGCGAAATCCCTATAGTGCGCGCGCGACTCGTCCGCTGACTTTGCCTTTTTGCCGCGCGACGGGCCTCCTGGGGTGTACCCAGAGTTGTATAGGTTTGACATCGAAAATGCGGCTTATGCAAAGACGAATAACCACCTATGAACACTTTGATGACCAGCTCCTTCAAACTCGTTGGTCGATCAAGATGAAATTTGGAATTAAAAAGCAGGATGTTCAGTTGCGTGATAGCTAGGAAAAGATAGAGTTTTCACTCCATGAATAAGCAAGCAAAAACATGGATGCATTAATTACACTGATCGTGAGGGTTGTATGAGTGCCCGCGATTGAATTCAGCTGCTTCGAATCTTTATGACAACGCAATCAAAACATGTCCAACTCTAGATTTTGCTACAATATTTCCTCGGAAATAGTTCGACCCGTACAATCCGATATTACATTCGTTTAGCGCGAAACCGCCTGGCACCCTTGTTAAAAGTGTCGGGGTCAAAAGGAGCCAGAATACCTTGAACACAAAAGTGCCGGGAAACTTGTCATCAGGGGTGGTTTGACTCCCTGAACATGAATATCAAATTCTGCAGGGAAAATTCTAGCCTAAGCCACGGAATTCACCCTAAAATTAATGTGATAGTGCAAGCCTGTGGCACACGCAGAGTCAACCCTGCGTTGCGCAGTTCGCAACGGCACGTTGAGAGATCCTCAACGCACGCTGTATGGGCGGAGACACAGACGGCTCGAGCATGCGAGTGTGAATGTTCGCGCGAGAGAACGTGTCTAATCGGGCGAAACTGCGCAACGTGGCCGTTGAGAACTGCGCAACGCAGGGTTGACTCTGGGCGCAGGTGGCAGGCGCTCACGCGCTGAGCTGATGCGATATTTGTGTTCTACGTATTTCTCCGGACACAAATTTCTAACCACCTTACTTCGCTGAAATTTTGATTAAGATCTCCCCTAATTTTTGAATAGGGGGTGGGGCGGGAAAGGTTATTGGCTTTCTATTATATTTTCGCCCCACCCAACGATTTCCGGATGTTTACAGCCTCTTTTGTTTTGTTTCCTTAGCAGGAAGTGATCTCATCTTTTTTTATCGTAGCGCCATTCTTTGAATCAGTTATAAAGAAGCCCAGAACATTCCAGCGGTGCTCACGCTTTTCGTAAAGTCGACGAGACTATGCTCAGCATGCGATTGACTCATTCGTGTTGGATGATAGTTGTTTCCCTTAAACTATATCTATTCCTTCCTGTCACAGCATGGAAAGGGGGGGGGCAATGCCTTGGAGTATTATAATTAAAACCAGCTGCTCCGCCGCAGCTATATTCACCTTTTGAGTACTTGGAACGGGAACTTCTCGCTCGTAATTAAAATTAAATTAAATTAAATTGTATTGTAAATTATATCAATGACACGCGGCCAACTCACTGCTAAATCTTATGCGTTCAGCAGACGTCCAGCAACCAGCTATAGAGAGAGTCCACGGACAATTTGCGGACTGAAAAAGTTTCTCAGCAGTCGTCTTCAGTAATCCAGAGTTTTATTTTTTCAACATTTCTTTTTCGGGTTTTATTTTCTTCATATATACTTTTTGCAATTACTGTGCGTGGATTTTGTAGGACAGCAAACAGGCCAGCGACACTCCCTCTTAGCTCAAACGGAGCTCTTATAGAAACACAGTCGGGTTAAAACAAACAAGTGACTCCGGATTGCTCGCCAGTTTTGACACTGTTTTGGCTCTCCTTATGATTCTTCTTTGAAACATGTGAAACATGGATAGTACGATGCATTTGTTCGTACCTACGATACGCAACTCAGCACAATTCACATCTTCACCTGGACACTTCATAACAGAATTTTGCCGAAGTAGAGAATGTCAGCAACATTGTGGAGGCTTGTATCGACGATCACCGTGATGGAGACACCAGTTTTCGGTATTTTCTTCCGGACAATAGAAAATATTAGGTCGTGAAGAAAGTTCTTGCGCTTTTCGGTGTTTCGTTTTTGAACGCTTTATTTTGTTACGAATTCAAGCAAGCTGCCAATGAGCTGTATGTGGTTTTGAAGAGCTTTTCTTGTTCTAGCTCCATATTCTGCACTACCGGGCTGATTCAACGCAGCTATTATTGGCAGAGGTTTGTGGATTCTAACAGTCTTTACTCCAATCAAAAAGGTTTCGAATGAGCCGAGATACAGGCATTTGAAAATCAAGGTCGAAAAGCGCAAGAACTTTCTTCACGACCTAATATCTTGAGCGCAGAGAAATCCTTGTCGTGGCCATGCCCACATTTCGCTGGATACTACAAAATGGGAAGTCTTTCCCATTTTGTAGTATCCAGCGGGAATGAGAAGAATGGCCTGACCCAAACTGATTCTTCCACAAAGTTCATATCACCATTTCTACGAATGCCGAAATACAGGGGTGGCCAAAAAAAAGAGACACTTAGCCCATGGCGCACATCATCGAACTTTTCGTCGCACAGGGAGCCGATGTTAATGAAAGTTTTACGGCGGAATATTCCTTAGGTGTTCCCCGTAACAGAAGCAGGCCCTCCTTCACTGCCCCCGCCGTCTTCAGAATATGACGTCATCTGCCGTCACCGTCGAGCTCAACGAGGCTTACCGTAATCGCTCCGGCCTGAAGCTGCTACATAATTTCTTCAATGAATTAACTGTTGAATAGCTTCCCAGAGACATTAGCTGTGAATGTGCAAAACCGCTTTTGACCTGCGTTTCAGAGACGTCGTAATCGTCTATGGTATCTCAACGACCTCGTTGAGATCGTACCGCGCACAATGCTTCCGTGGGAAAATCTTCTGATGTCGTCGGTGTAGAAGGCTGTTGTGTAGCTTGTTGATAGATTATAACGTGCTCTTCAATATTCAGTTGGGGTCATTTGGTTTGGTTTCGCGACGCGTAAATAATTCCGTTTTGAATGTTGAGTGAAGTGTCTCTTTTTTTTGGCCACCCCTGTATACATAGTACACTTCGTTGCGTCGCTACAGACAAAGGCACTTATAGTATAGATGTTCGGGCATTGCTGCTTTAAGCTCGACGCGGCTTTTTCTCACAAGATCTTCAATAACACCTGTGAGTCTCGCCTTACAATCCCTTAAAGGAATCTTCCACGGACCATGGACCAGTGGGCGGGACCGGAAGTGGTTTTGCGACGAAATGCATGGTAGGTACGGATCCACGTTCATGGGAAGGTTTGAAGTGAATCCTGTTCACGTTCGTGCGTTCGACACGTGGATCCGTACCTACCATGCATTTCGTCACAAAAACTTCCGGTCCCGCCCACTGGTCCATGGTCCGTGGAAGATTCCTTTAAGGAAATTAGTCTAAATTATAATGACTCAGTAATATTGGCAGGGAAGAATAATGGATTCAATCAGGAGTGAATGAACTGCGCGATCCATATTCACGAATTTCAAAAAAAAAACTTAATTTCAGTGTAGCCACTGTATGTACAAATGAACCGTTCTTTTTATCTCTGTTAACTTTGAATTCTTTGAAAACCATTCTAACAGCTTCACAAGAATGCTCGGTTGCGAACAAAACTTTTCCTCGAGAGGTAAATCAGAACAAATGTGTTCATATTTGAATCATTGAAAGAGCCAGTACTTCCCCAGCAACCCAACGTACTTACTTCTTACTTCTCGACCGCTATTCGTCCCGGGCACGCCAGAAACGCAGGTCGCACATCTTCCAGGCCGCTCTGCTTCGGGCTCTTCTGCGCCACAGCTGGCCGTACAATTTTACGAGAGGGTCTGCCCATCGGGTGGGGGTCTGCCTCTGGGCCTTGTTTTTCCCCTTGGGTACCAGTCAGTCACTCTCTTCGTCCAGCGATCATCGGTGAAGTCTAGCCACATGACCGGCCCACCTCCGCTTGGAATTATAGATGGCATCGACGACGTCCTTCACCATCGTACGAGCGCGGATGGTGTCATTGGGTATGCGGTCTCGGAGCGTTACCCCGCACATGGCCCTCTCCATGGCTCTGAGTGACTGCGAGTTTCTCCTCTTCAGAGACTGTGGTGCTCCACGTCTCCGCCCCGTACGTCATAGCGGGAAGAACATGCGAGTTGAGACGTGAGCTTTGACTTTGAGGTCTACCTGTTTTTGGGTCTACGTGTAAATTAGGAATAGAACTGGGGAAATGTGGTTCTAGCCTCCCATGTATGTAGTTGCCAACATTTTCGTGAATGTGTTAGTTTTTTTCATATTTTTTAGCCTATTCGATAGTCGCGGTTTACTTTGTGAATAATTATCACCATGTGTTATAGAGTTATCTATTTCAATTCAAAGTAAAGGGGAATTTTCACGCTCGAGCTCATCGCTCTATGCGTCCAGCCATACGCTGAGGTTCTCCAGCTACGTTCCACCGTTGCACTCTGACTCCCTTCCTTCACTTCACTGTCTATAATTATGGCATAGGCTGCTGCCCTACAATTTCACCTTCGCAGACCCTCAACTTTAGTTAGCTGTTCAATATATCCTCGCATCATTCATTCTCAGCACGTGGACACCAGAAAGTTTGGGATCTAGCGATTTTGCGCAAACTTATACAGTTATTCAATTGCATGTCGAAATTAGATGACTGACCAGCGAGAAAATTTTCATAACAAGGATATGAGCAAGAGATAATGTAGAGATCGAAAGGTGTTTCACCTGCAAATTTCGCACTACATGATTGTACTGATTATTTTAATCTTTTTAACAACTTCATCGGTTATAAAAGCAAAATAGATCCTCACCTTACATACTCTTCTGGCCAAATGTTTTGATTGTATCTGAAATGTGATTTTATATTCTCTATCGTTTCCGGTACAGAAAAAACCTTACAGTACGAAGGCAAAAATGTCGCCCATTAATTTTTGTACAGTTTACCACTGTCATTACTTACTACAGAATTTCTCTGTTAATTCTCAAGCCATTTGTCACCAAAACAACTACAAAGAGACGCAAGGAACGCTCAGTTCTATTCACAATACTCGTTCATCTTCCTGAGGCCGGTGTCAGACTTTCCGAATCGTTGAATGCAAGCAAAACCTGATGCCGGTCTAACAGCGCCTTACCGGATACCTTCAATTTAGTGAGAAGCTCGGACCAATAGAAAGTCTTTCGTCACAGTCTGGTGTCTTCGAATGATCGTCATTCTTGCTTGTTTAGAAGTGTGAATTCAAGGCAAGCCCCGGAATAAAACCGGTGATAAGAGCGCTTCGTCCTCAAAATTCTACAAGCACCTATGGAACGATGGTTCGATCGCTTCCACCTGTTCTGTTCAAGCAGATCCGACAATCAACACTCTATAATCTGACTCTGCTGCTGTCGAATCAATTAAATGGGGGAGTAGAGGGAAAGCCTGATGAATTCCGGTTCTCTCGAAAAGAACTTCTTTGAGTTTCGTGTCTCAAAAGACCAAGATTTCCAGACAAGCGGGATCGAGAAGTCGACTTTTGAAAGGCTGTATGTTGACGATTATGGTGGCGTACATATTTGTGAATTGGTGGCCGTGCTGACGGATGAATTTTAAGAAAGATTAGACAAATGGCCAAAGAGTTTCTGACAACCTAATAGTAGGATATTTTTAAATTTTTAAGAGGTGAGTATGAAAGAATAGCACTCACTTATCAGCCAGAGCAGACGCCTTCTTTCTTTCTTCTGGCGAGAAACTTTGTGTTCTGTGAATCATTTCCGACTCCGATATAAAGCCCTGAAACGAAAGCGTTTGAGTCGAGGCATCTCTGCCCTTTTTAATTTGTAGAGCGTAGAAAAACATGTACTTAGAATCGATTAACAGCCCAAACCGCCGATTTGGTTGGCTATGCTGGGAAATGGCCCCCGAAAATAAAGGCAATAGGTTGAGTGGATTGGGATGAAGGTGTAGAAAAACGGGCTGTTGATTCCGAAATGGTGGGCTTCTTTTTAGTCATCCATGACCTTTCTTTCGATTCCCACTCTGAAATTGACTCCTTCGTCTTGTTTGAAATGGGGCGCTGCATTCTATTTGCATTTTAAAACCTTATGTTGAGGCGTAGAAAAACCTGCTGTGATTATCCGAAATGATGACGTCTGTGCATCTTTACATCCCATTGCAAAATGTCAAACGGGAGTCCAGTCAGCCATGTTGATAGCTAATTACGTCAGTGCAAATTTAAACTGAGGATTAAGAAAACTTACAGAGGGTACGTTGGCTTTCGGACTTCTTGACACGGCCACTAGGAAATAAATGATAGCCGGTGCAAAAATGCACATCGAAATACAGATTCTTGTAGAGCTCTCCATGACAGCCAGATGCAATGAAAGCAAGTCTAGCGTGGCAGTTTCCACGAAGGGCTGTCAGTCGCAGGAAGCTGTATTAGTTTGTGTGTCGCTGATAGATTCGAGCGATTCTATCCTTGAAAAACCAGGGCCAAGGGCTTGCAACGATTCATTTGTGTGGTTATAACCAAAGTAACTGCTATTTACTAACAAAAGAATGCCTTATCATCACGCGGGAGCTGAGGCCTTATATAAGGATGGCCTTCCACCAGTAACTCTAAATCAAGTTTAGTCCGGATTGCTGTGTGTCCCACTACTGGTTCCGGGTGGTCTCGAGTACCGGACTAAGTTACGGTAAGTGGCCCACCTTGGTATTGCGTGATGACCTGTTTTGTTCTCGAATTTCAGTAGGATAGCGGAGGCGTTTGGTCGGGTAGTCATAAATTGCTTCGATCCTTTCAGGCTCTGAAGAAGGCGACCCCGCTAAGCCAATAAAGTCTGCTAAACAACCTCGTGGAGAGCTTACAGAAGATATCAGCTGTTTACTTAATAATTGCATCTTTATTTAGAACTTCTAAATATATTCGAGCGCCTTATCCTGACATTACGAGCAGAAGTCAAATGCGCAAATTATCACAAACAGTGTGAGCAGCAGTAGGCCAGCATAAGGATAGCATTATGCGGAGTTCCATGATACGTCCCTGCTCCTCTCTCAAACATCCATTGATCCTTTCTATTATCCCTTCTACTTCTAATTCCGTTGAAGGCACGATTCTAAATCGATTTAGTGTGTTGTCCTTCACTGCTTGGTACCATTTTAAAAAACAGGACTAGAGCACTTTCTGGATGCCACATTTAGCTCGACGGCGATTACGATAACTTTATATTCTGAAGCGGAGGGCGACTGACAAGTACTTCCTTTTGATCTATGCGAGACAAATCGCGGCAATATATACAGTAGTGGCCAGAAGATTTATGAACAAACGGTTTTTTCATGATTTCTCTTTTGAAAGTCACTGCAACGTCTCCAAATTTGCAACAATTATTAACTACGTGTTTTATGATCCACACAGAAAATTTCAACCTTCAGCTCAAATTTGGGTTTAGAAAATTTTAGATTTTTCGAAATTAATGAAGGCAGGTGAAAGATCACTTGATCCGTTTATTTGATTTAAATAATGTATAACCCAACAGAACAGTCAAGTAAACAGTCACTAACATTAAGCAAGTCTAGCACATTGCCCAGAACTCTCTAAAGTATTGGATACATATAAACTGGATTTGAATGCCGGCGTCAATAATGACACTTCTAAGTGAGCTCTCTCGTGGCCTTCTTTGGCGTGGTCTTTTATTTGACATTTACAAATTGTGTAAGTTCCGTCCCCTTAGTGGTCTGTAAATGTTTGGCTCAGAGAGTCTGGCGTCTGGTTGATCGGGGTTTAACAGCGACCCCATTTGCGTGTCGAAGTCCACCTTCCGATGTTAGGCCCGATTGGCTTTGATTCGTGCCTGCTTGACAGACAAAGCCAGTCGCTGTGGAGCATCTCTCGGATTAACATGAATCGTCTTCTAGAATCTAAGTCTATACTACGTATTCCTTAGTTCTCAAAGTCTAAGAAGAGCGCTCGCTGTGAAGTGGGTGGGAGTAGAATGTGATTGACTAAGTCTGAAAAGAAGGTTGACACAGGTTTCTAAGGTCATCTGGAATGACAAAAACATATTACTGATGCATGACAGCAAGGATACTAGTAATGTACGGCACCACGAGAGGGAACGTTTTGATCCAAAAGAATCAGCTGCCAATTGTGAAACTTGGCGGAGGCTTGATAAGGTTGCCTTGGAAAAAAGTGGGACCACGCTACACGACTGAGGTAGCGATGAAGGCAGACGTTTGATGTCATGTAGGGGTGGTGTGGGTGATAGTGTTCATGATCGTAGACATGGTTGCCACACGACCTGGCTTTGTCTGTCAGCAGAGCAGCGACTCAAAGCATCGGGCCTCTCACATGCAGGAGTGGTTTCGACAGCATGGGGTGCTTTTGAAAGACCAGCCAGGCCAGACTCTTGAGCCAAACATTACAGAACCACTAGGGGAGGACCTACAAATTCGTATGTCAATGAAAGAGCCACGAAAAGACGGGACTACAGAGAGAGACCCCACTAGAGAGTGAGTTCATTAGTTGACCCCGCATTCAAATCCAGTTTATGTATCCAATACTTTAGAGAGTTCTGGCAATGTGCTAGACTTGCTTAATGTTAGCGGACTGTTTACTTGACTGTTCTGTTGGGTTATACATTATTTAAATCAAATAAACGGATCAAGTGATCTTTTCACCTGCCTTCATTAATTTCGAAAAATCTAAAATTTTCTAAACCCAAATTTGAGCTGAAGGTTGAAATTTTCTGTGTGGATCATAAAACACGTAGTTAATAATTGTTGCAAATTTGGAGACGTTCCAGTGACTTTCAAAAGAGAAATCATGAAAAAACCGTTTGTTCATAAATTTCTGGCCACTACTGTATATGTCATGAGATTTTCGTCAACAGGCCACATCATCCTT